AAAATATATGTAGCGAACAGTTTGAGTATCACTGTATTGTGACACTTAATAAACGCAGCGCAAACAGCTGTGACAAGAAATACTAAACGAAGTAAACAAAAAGAGCAAAAAGAAATGTGCAAAAATAGAAACGATCTCAGTTAACTACAAAGGAATAACAACAACAATGATAACAACAAATGACTCGGCAAGATTAGATGTAAGCTAGTGAAATTTAATTAAATTTAATAAAAACCACAAAAATCACAAAACTTTCACTTAGCTTCGGTTATTATCACACTAAGATGCTCGTAGGCACTTTTTATAGCAACTTTTACTCAAAATTAGCACAATAAACTTTGCAAAATACAAAGCCCAATCAAGGCACAAATAAGTAGAACTTCACAGCTTGACGTTTGCGAATCATGGTTCCAGTGGGTAACCCTGATCCCCTAACAACCAATTATCGCACTGGCTTCTGTGTGTTCTTAGAAGATGGAGGCGTGTTGGGGATGTAGTCCAAATACCAGAGTCGTGGCAGGATCCAGGAAATCTTGCATTTATAGCCGTGAACAGCAAACGATGATCACATATCTATTGGGAAAGAAAATTGTATAATAATGTATCCGATTTCTTACAGAATTGTCATTGCTTTGAAATTTAATTTTATTTATCATTTACCGTATGTAAAAAAAAGATGTAGTAATACTTACAGCCTCTACGTTAATGCTGTAGAAACCTTTCCGGTTCATATACATGCACAGAGGGTTACTTGGGTCTGTTGATGATGGAGCGACTATGCCTATGTGCGTGCAGTCAACAGCACCTATCGTTCCCTTGATCTTAAACGCCGTATAAAANTCTATTGAGAAAGAAAATTGTATAATAATGTATTCGATTGCTTACAGAATTTTCATTGCTTTGAAATTTAATTTTATTTATCATTTACCGTATGTAAAAAAAAGATGTAGTAATACTTACAGCCTCTACGTTAATGCTGTAGAAACCTTTCCGGTTCATATACATGCACAGAGGGTTACTTGGGTCTNATTGTATAATAATGTATTCGATTGCTTACAGAATTGTCATTGCTTTGAAATTTAATTTTATTTATCATTTACCGTATGTAAAAAAAAGATGTAGTAATACTTACAGCCTCTACGTTAATGCTGTAGAAACCTTTGCGGTTCATATACATGCATAGAGGGTTGTTGTGAAGGAACATACTTGTAGAGTTTAGATATTTTTGAATTTTGTGATGCAACCCTGCGTGGTGCATAAATCAAAGTTTGTTAAGTCCGGCAACGCTGCCGATTGTATTCGTATTTGTCAAATGTTCGTATCTGTCAAATGTAAAGCGCCATAATTTTATTCCGAAGACAAAAAGGCGCGAGGACACACAAAGTGTAAGGCTATTAGATTTTAAGATTGTACTGAGTTAACATTGTCAAATTTTATAAAATCCTAACTTACAGGAAAATAAAACAACCAACAAGCAATCGCAATCAATCAACGATAGCAATAGCTGTGCAATTATTACAGCAACCACTAATAATATTGAGTTTTATTTTGGCCCTCGCGCCCGTCTGCGGAACATCTTTTATTTTCACTTTTGCGAGAGTGACTTGCACGGTTTATTCGACGTTTCCCTGCCAATTGTCACCGGAACGAATTATTGAAGCAGTAGTGAACCGCCCAGCTTGATTTGATCGCCTTGCTGCAAGTTGCCGTGACCAGCACACATTTGAGACAGCAGTGAACTGCATACTCTAAGCGGAGCCCTACATCCAAGAATTGTGGAGTACTGACTCACTATAAGTGCCGGTAAGTGTTATTTGGGGGATTAGGCTTAAGGCCAATCGGGAGCGTCAAAACGTGGTTTTAGTAGCCAATAAATGCCAACAACGCGGTCGGCATCTAAAATGGCGGATAGTGAGAATGAAGATCTCGAAACTACTGTGAGAGAGCATACGATTGGCGCCCAACAAGAAAGTACCGCTAGCGTACCGGCACAGTTAGCAGCTATGATGCAAGAAATACAAAATTTAAAGGTATCCTTAAATCAGCAGCAACGTAATGTACGAGCGTCGACTGAAACGAACTCTGAAGGGGAAGATAGGGTAGGCAACACGTTAGCAGAGGCGGTCAGTGAGCTGAGCCGCGCTTTGACACACACGCCTGCACAGCCTGTGATCAAGCTGTACGACTTGCCCGAGTTCAGCGGTCGACCTGAAGATTGGCCGATGTTTCGAGAAGCATTTACGACCACGACAGCGGAGTATCGTTACACTGAGCGGCAAAATATGTTGCGGCTGCAGAAGGCATTGAAAGGTCAGGCTAGGGAAACGGTAGAGTGTTTACTTATACACAGCGGAAATGTAAACCGCGTTTTAGAAACATTAAAAGAGCGATTTGGTAGACCTGAGATTTTGGTTAAAAGTCAGATTTCGCGTATCCGTAACGTTGCCAATATCCCTGAGAATAGAATAGACTTAATCATTCCGTTTGCTACAAAGGTGCAAAATGTGGCCTCATTTTTGGGCGCAGCAGAATGCGATCACCATTTAAGTAATCCGATCCTAATGGAAGAGCTCGTGTCTAAGCTGTCAGTGCAGCGAAGATTAATATGGGAACGTCATGCTGTAAACATACAGCCGCGACCGACTATCCAGCATCTCAGCGAGTGGTTACAAGAGGAAGCCCGCATTGTGAACACGATTTGCACCCTCGTGCAACTGCAGCGGCAAGCGGATCAGCGATCCGAAAGACGTGCACGATTTTTTCACGCGGTAGAGTCACAAGAGTTACATAGAGGCGGGTGTAAAATGTGTTCAGGTGGTCACGATCTCGAACATTGTGGTCGATTCTTAGGGCTTTCTCATAAAGATAAGTGGCAATATATACGCGAAAAGCGACTTTGCTTTAACTGTTTAAAATCTGGCCATCGAGGTACTTCATGCGCACGTATGCACAGATGTTCGGTTACAGGGTGTGAGAAGAAATGGCATGAGCTGCTACACAAGCCTCGACCTCAATGTGGGGAAAGTAACCATCAAAACAATTCGAGGCCGCGTGTACTCACCAACGTCGAAGTATCTCCTGGTAATCAAAGTTTATTGTTTAAAATTCTTCCAGTTAAATTGTTTGCTAATGGTAGGAGTGTCGACTGCTACGCTCTCCTTGATGAAGGGTCGTCTTTGAGTTTGATGAACGAGAACCTCGCGGCGCAGCTTGGTATAACGGGTCCAAGAGAAGAACTAACATTGCAGTGGTTCGGTAGCAGTACGGCCACAGAATCTTCGATGACAGTGAATATGGAGATATCTGGCGTGGGTAGGCAACGCAAAAGGTTTCCGCTCCGCAACGTCAAGACGGTTAAGGATCTGCAGTTGCCGCGACAGACGCTTAGTATATCTCAGCTCCACATAGGCCAACGACATTTAAAGAGACTGCCATTAGTGGGTTACTCAGATGCTACTCCAGACTTGTTGATTGGGTTGGACAACGTGCATTTAGGTATCGCGAAACGTATTGCCGACGATGGTCGTCGGGGTCCGGCTGCAGTATTGACCAAGGTTGGATGGGTGATTTACGGTTCCCTAGGGAACAGAAGCGACAAAAATCAGCGCGTATTTTTGGTGCGAGAAAACCCCGCAGATACGGCGTCGGGAGTTGAAAGCATTGAGGAGCTCGTCAAAAACTTCGTGGTGAGTGACGACTTAGGCGTTTCTACTGCTGTCAAACATATTAAACCAGAGGATGAAGTGAGAGCACGTGCCATACTGGAACAAACAACAGTTCGCGTGGGCGAGCGCTATGAGACGGGACTGTTGTGGAGGAACGACGAAGATTTAATAGGAAATAAATAGCCGAGGAGTGGCAGAGAAGAGGCTTCTGGCACTAGAGCGGAAATTGGCAAGCAATGAGCAATTAAGACGCGAATACATTAGGATGATGAGAAGCTACGAAGCAAAAGGCTATTCAAGGAGGCTCGCAGCAGACGAAGTCTCCGCACAACACCCACGCACATGGTATTTGCCCCACTTTGGGGTTTTTAATCCGAACAAACCAGGAAAGGTACGTCTCGTGTTCGACGCAGCAGCGCAAGTTCCTGGGAGATCTTTAAACTCTTATTTGTTGAGCGGTCCAGACTTGGGCAGGCCGTTGCTCGAAGTCTTGATGAAGTTCCGTCAGAGGCCGATAGCTGTCAGCGCCGACGTTGAAGAAATGTTCCACCAGATCGTCGTACGAGTGGAAGACCAACAGCGCAGAGATTCTTGTGGAGGGAGAAACCCGGTGATGATATACAGGAATACTCCATGCGAGTGATGACTTTTGGAGCCACTTGTTCTCCCTGTTCGGCGCAATTTGTTAAGAATAAAAATGCGTTGGAGTTTGTCGGAGAATTCCCCGAGGCGGTCGAGGCTATATTAAATAAACGCTACGTAGATGATTCCGTTCACTGCTTTGCGGACGTAGAGGAAGCCGTGAGCATTGCGAAACAAGTTAAGTAAATTCATCGGGCAGGCGGATTCAATTTGAAAGGATTCGTGTCCAATTCGCGAGCGGTGAGCGATGCCCTAGATGATGGCCAGTATGTTGGAACGATGAAAGACTTCGACAAACCTGAGGCAGGTCATCAGAAGGTTCTCGGAATGCAATGGGACACGAGGAGCGATGAGCTAAGGTTCGTTTTGGCCTTCGGTCGCGTTGACCCGGAGCTGTTACAAGGTCAGCGTACTCCAACTAAGCGTGAACTATTGCGCGTAATGATGTCCGTCTCCGATCCCTTCGGCGTTGCCGCGGAACATGTGCTCAAGGCCAAGTTGTTGCTGCAGATGGTATGGAGAGCTGGAACCGGTTGGGATGACGAAATCTCGGAGGAGGCGAAAACTGTTTGGAAGTTATGGCTAAATACGTTGAGCTACATCGAAGGTATCAGAGTGCCACGTTGCTACAGTGCGTCATTTACAACGGGAGTTGTGGAACTCCACGTCTTTGCTGACGCAAGCGAGGCGGCTTTCGCTGCGGTAGCGTACTGGCGCATCAAAACTGACCGCAGCGTAGAAGTGGCACTAGTGGCAGGGAAAACCAAATGCGCACCCCCAAAACTTACAACGATTCCGAGACTGGAGTTGCAAGCGGCAGTACTAGCCTCTCGTCTGAAGATAATGGTGTCAAAAAACCACGATGTCAAACCGTCACGCGTCGTCATGTGGACGGATTCGAAGACTGTTCACGCCTGGATAGCTTCAGACCATAGGAGATACAAACCTTACGTTGCTCATCGGGTGAGTGAGATCCTGGACGGGACGAATCCAAGCGACTGGAGGTGGGTATCGGGAGCTTTAAATCCGGCGGACTTCGGTACCAGACTCCGAAGTAATGCGAGTGAGTCATCCTGGATTGGTGGTCCAGGATTCTTGAAGGAGGATGAATCTTACTGGCCCAAAACTAACGACATCGAAAGTACGCGCGAAGAACTACGAACTAAACACCAGCTATTTTTTACTAGAATAAATGATAACCTTTTGCTCAAATATTCAAACTTTATGCGGTTGATACGAGCCGCCTGCAGAATGCTGACGCAGTACACCCGTATACACGTCGACCCGCCGTGATGCCACAAGGACACCATGTCACCAATACTCTCGTCGACTTGTACCATCGTATATGGAAGCACCAGAGTGAGAACACCATCGTGTCGGAGTTACGACGCAAATATTGGATCCCCCATATCCGCGAAGAAGTACGAAAAGCAGCCAAGAGGTGCCTTGAATGCAAAAGAAGACGTGCGAAGCCAGATGTGCCACAAATGGGACAACTGCCAGCTGATCGCCTTACGCCATTTGTACGACCGTTCACGTATGTAGGTCTTGACTACATGGGTCCATTTCTGATCGTGTCTGGGAGGCGTACAGAAAAGCGGTGGATCGCGTTATTTACGTGTTTGACGACACGCGCCATACACCTTGAGATAGCTATCGATTTAACTACAGATACTTGTTTACTCTGCATCAAGAATTTTATGCGCCGACGTGGAACCCCGGTGCGGATTAGGTCAGATAATGGCACCAACTTCATAGGAGCAGATCGGGAAATACAGCGTCAACTCAAAGACTTCGAAGAGGGAAGGATCCCCGAGGCATTGGCAAATCAAAACATAGAATGGGTGTTAAACTGTCCGTTGAGCCGACACGCCGGCAGATGTTGGGAGCGCTTGGTACGTAGTGTAAAGCATGCCATGCAACATGCATTGAATAGCGAAAGGTTGAAAGAGCAGACGCTGTATAGCGTCATGTGTGAAGCCGAAAACGCTGTGAACTCGCGCCCGCTTACGCATATCCCACTTGACGCTCCTGATGAAGAACCTTTAACCCCTAATCATTTCCTCCTAGGCACAGAAAACTCAGAGCAGACTCCATATCCGCAAGAAGAATCCTTTAAGGCGACGCGAACGCAGTGGCGAAAAATGCAGCAGATTCACCATCGCTTCTGGAAGCGGTGGCTGGCGGAATATCTTCCGGACTTATGCCGCCGAACGAAGTGGAGGAAACCCGTGGAGCCGTTGTCTTTGGGAGATTTGGTCTTGGTCTGCGATGATCGCATGCATCGATCCAGGTGGCCGATCGGTCGAGTCGTTAGCGTCAAACCAGGCAAGGATNGAAGAAGTACGAAAAGCAGCCAAGAGGTGCCTTGAATGCAAAAGAAGACGTGCGAAGCCAGATGTGCCACAAATGGGACAACTGCCAGCTGATCGCCTTACGCCATTTGTACGACCGTTCACGTATGTAGGTCTTGACTACATGGGTCCATTTCTGATCGTGTCTGGGAGGCGTACAGAAAAGCGGTGGATCGCGTTATTTACGTGTTTGACGACACGCGCCATACACCTTGAGATAGCTATCGATTTAACTACAGATACTTGTTTACTCTGCATCAAGAATTTTATGCGCCGACGTGGAACCCCGGTGCGGATTAGGTCAGATAATGGCACCAACTTCATAGGAGCAGATCGGGAAATACAGCGTCAACTCAAAGACTTCGAAGAGGGAAGGATCCCCGAGGCATTGGCAAATCAAAACATAGAATGGGTGTTAAACTGTCCGTTGAGCCGACACGCCGGCAGATGTTGGGAGCGCTTGGTACGTAGTGTAAAGCATGCCATGCAACATGCATTGAATAGCGAAAGGTTGAAAGAGCAGACGCTGTATAGCGTCATGTGTGAAGCCGAAAACGCTGTGAACTCGCGCCCGCTTACGCATATCCCACTTGACGCTCCTGATGAAGAACCTTTAACCCCTAATCATTTCCTCCTAGGCACAGAAAACTCAGAGCAGACTCCATATCCGCAAGAAGAATCCTTTAAGGCGACGCGAACGCAGTGGCGAAAAATGCAGCAGATTCACCATCGCTTCTGGAAGCGGTGGCTGGCGGAATATCTTCCGGACTTATGCCGCCGAACGAAGTGGAGGAAACCCGTGGAGCCGTTGTCTTTGGGAGATTTGGTCTTGGTCTGCGATGATCGCATGCATCGATCCAGGTGGCCGATCGGTCGAGTCGTTAGCGTCAAACCAGGCAAGGATGGGCAGGTCCGTGTGGCAGAAGTGAAGACGGCTGGAGGGACGTTCCGGAGACCTGCTTGTATGGTGGCGAAGCTAGACGTTGGTGAATCTAGCAGCGGGTAGATTCACGGGGCCCGGGATGTTGTGAAGGAACATACTTGTAGAGTTTAGATATTTTTGAATTTAGCGATGCAACCCTGCGTGGTGCATAAATCAAAGTTTGTTAAGTCCGGCAACGCTGCCGATTGTATTCGTATTTGTCAAATGTTCGTATCTGTCAAATGTAAAGCGCCATAATTTTATTCCGAAGACAAAAAGGCGCGAGGACACGCAAAGTGTAAGGCTATTAGATTTTAAGATTGTACTGAGTTAACATTGTCAAATTTTATAAAATCTTAACTTGCAGGAAAATAAAACAACCAACAAGCAATCGCAATCAATCAACGATAGCAATATCTGTGCAATTATTACAGCAACCACTAATAATATTGAGTTTTATTTTGGCCCTCGCGCCCGTCTGCGGAACAAGGGTTACTTGGGTCTGTTGATGATGGAGCGACTATGCCTATGTGCGTTCAGTCAACAGCACCTATCGTTCCCTTGATCTTAAATGCCGTATAAAAGCTGAAAGTAATGATATAACATAAATTTAATTTTCCTTTTTTAAAAATTCTATTTATTACCCCGTTTTAACTTCCAAGACCTCATTTGAAGTTTTGGGGAACTTTATTTCGCCGCCCTTAACATCCGTTATTATCTTTGAGATGTGATGAATGGCGCGCGACACCGACGGCTGGCTCATCGCAATTTGGAAGTTGTTTCCTACACACTTCTGGTATGAACCATGTGTGTAGAAATACAGGCTCCCCAAAAATCTTATTATAAAAGGGATGCCGGATTTCTGAGGGTCGCGCGGTTCCAATTGTTGCATTAGTTCGCGACAAAGTGATTTAGGAAAGCAAAAATTCTGGATAAAAACTATCTCCTGGATCGAAAACGGGTCGCTGTCGTCCCTGAGCTTCCTCAAAAGTCGCTTCCTTTCCAGCTTTTGCTCGTCTTCCACAAGCACGGCTGCGCAAATAACTAGAATTTGTTCTGCCATTGAAATTAGTATTTTTTATATTTTTTTCACAAATTTATTAAATCGTCGCACTTTTTATATCAACACAAACATATGTTTTTGCCTTGTCACCTGCCCAAAAGGTCATGACAATAAAAATGACAATTGGCATGATTCGAGCTTTTGAATTTTGCTGCGAATACCAAAAAGCTGCAATTGTCATTTTTATATCAATTGTCATCGCGGTGAGTTTTGTCAGTGTGGCGGAATAGGGCTGTAAGTTCGCCTTGGATGGAATAGTGTAGCAAACTATCGATCGGTTTTTCAAAACTATCGAGTATTTTCACTATCGAAAATTTACCGTTTAATAAAGCGGCAATACTTTTATATAAAAGAAGTGACGGCAACTATGTTGGGCTAAAGTAAAGTAGGATCGGAACGATTGTACAGTAGAACAGCTTTAATAGTGAACAATAAAGGTCGCATCTTAAACCTAAAAATCTTGACATGCTATGTTTCTATGTTCTTTCTTAAATAAAAACAACTGGCTTTAGAAAGCAGAATACGTAAATATGTTTAGTTTTTTGTTTATACTTTCATTATTAAGGTAGGTCCTTATGATATTTAAAAAACTATATTTACCGCAAGGGGGCGTATTCATAGTCAAAATTAAGTTGGTACTTAAAGTTAGTTGTATCTCTTTTGACATAATGTTTAATGGGTTATCTGTCAATAAAGTTACAACCAAATTTAAGTACCAACTTAATTTAATTCTCACGACAGCCGGTTCTACGTACCGAAATGACTCGAGTTTAACCCCACCAAGGGCTGTTGTTTCGGCGATCTAACTCCGTTTAGGTCGGCAAAGTATCTCAGAATTTTTCGTCCATAAGGCTTCATTTGCTACGTATTCTTCTGCCTAGGGCCGGCATCGAGTCAAACCCAGGTACAGAAACTGACACCTGCTTTGTATGCCAGAGACTACTACACCACAACTCCAGCTCAGCCAAGTGCAATGCTTGCAACGGAGTCACCTCAGTCTGCTCAGCCCTACGGACTCATCGCCAGTGGACCACATCATTTGTGGCCCCCTGCTGCTCAAACAGAGGAGCCTTCACGGCTAACCCCAGTCCACCTGAGCAGCTCAACACTAACACCACAACACAACAACACAATAGACCACACCACATCCACGACAGACCACACAACAGACACAACCGCACCACCACCCACATGCCGCCGCCAACAACTCCTGGTTCCTCCTACAGTCTTCACGGTATGTCAGACCAGGATTTTCCGTAACGTGACATCAGTGAAGTGCAACACCTGCCTTGGCTGGTGCTACTTTAGAACATGTTCATTGCACGCCATGCGAGATTGGACGAGCAACTTCGAGGGCCCGTGTTACGCTGCACGGTCGCAAATCCCAATTGCGACGCCAACCACTACCACCACAGGGTGGCACCGCGCACAGCCAATAGGCGCCGGATACAACGTGCACCGTCGAGATCGTGAGAGAGATAATGGTGGTGGCTTAGCGTTCATCACGCTCCACACCGTGCAGTATCGTCTTATTGAAGCAGACTTCGACCACAAAGATACCACCCTAGAATTTCAGGGCATTTCTATCCGGTCAGGCGATGCCGAGCTCGAAATATTTAACGTTTATATACCCCCTGTCCCTAGCTGCCAGGCAGGATATCACTTTTATATTGGTGCGGTCCTCAGAGGTGAAAACCGTATGGTAATTGGTGACTTTAATGCGCACCACGATCTTTGGCATTCAAAACTGTTGAACGATCGTAGGGGAACGGACTTGGCTGAGCAGATAGACGACTCGACATTCTGCACAATCAACGACGACGCACCCACCAGGATTATGGGCAGCTGCTGCAGCTTGGCAGACATAACAATTGTCAGCGCTGGTCTGATAAACAGCGTATTATGGCGACCTATGCTGACTTTGGCATCAAACCATCTGCCCATAGTCATCTCGATCGATAAACCAACCGACTTTGCTCCGCGGAGCACCGGACCTATATCAACTTTTCTAAAGCTGATTGGAAAGGCTTCGCGGAATTTACTGATAGCACCTTCTCTGCGTCCACCTTGGTGAACGTAAGTTCCGCAAGGTTGTCACTGGTGCTGAAGCTCGCTTCGTACCAGCAGGATGCATTACGGATCCCCGTCCAAACTTCCCTGGCGTGGCTATTCTAGCCGATGAGTGTGACAACCTTCGTCAGTCGATACCGCAAATCTCCGTATCAGGGATCTCAACGCCGAGATTCGGCTGCTTTTGAACGTACATAAGCGGAAAAAACTTGTAACTTCGTAATTTTGGTCATACCCAGCCAGCAGAGAAATGTACTTTTTGCCGAAAGTGCAGTTTTCGTACATTTTTCGTATACGGAAATATTCAGAAAACGATTTTCATATTTGTTCATTTTTCGTATCCGAAAAAACATAATTTTAAAATATTTGTTCAAACTGAGCATTTGAAAACATGTATACGTATTCGCCAGTAGCTGAGCGTGCAGAGAAGTGTGCTACTATTTGTTAGCTTGCAGTAGGTCCCAGGTTGGAATTCCGTCAGAAGCAACACATTAAAATTATTTGTTCAAATTGAAATAATTGCTGAATCTTAAAATTGTTTTTTGTTTGGTTTCCTGTAACTATGAAAAAGTTTCTGTGAAGTTCATAATGAAATCGTTTTCAACGAAAGATTTAATCAGATAAATTTCAGGAAAATAGCCGAAAGTGCATCGTTTTACAACCATTTTCGATAGTTTTCTGCAAATACGTTTCGGATGAACACTTTAATGGGAGAATTGATCTGAAAAACGTCCGAAAATGGAATCGGAAAACGGATGAAACATCGGTTTTTATACGAAATTGTTTCCATTTTCGGATACGTTTCCGGATATTTTGCTGGCTGGGAGTCGGTGAATTTAATTTGCTGTCTCCACAGGCAAAAGTTTTTATCTTGATAATGTTGTCAGGCAAAATTTTGCCAATGAAGGCCGCATATTGCTCTTGGCAAGCAATAATTATCAGAGCGTTTATCTTGATAAATAT